TCTCCTGACCTGGCTCACTGTCCATGTCCCTTTCAATTAGATGGATATGCCAATCTGCCCTCTCAAGTCTCAGATTGCCAGTTCAACAGGGCACCTGGACCTGTGCGCTTTGTGCGGAGCACTGTAGAGCGCTGCTGCTGAGCTGCAGTGCCGGCCGCTGGCTGCACCAGCCGCCGGCTGCACTGCGCTGGCGCCCCGCATCTCTTTTATACCTGGGAATTTCCCCGTTCTGTGGGCAACAAAGATCCATCTGGAAATGCGGCCCTGACTCACCCTCCGCACATTCACTGAGAGCTTCAATCCTGGGTTATTCTCACCACGCCATCTTGAGTCCGTCCTCCTAATATATATTATATAAATTATGATTATATTAATATTATAAACATATACGCACCTATATATATATAAAATATATAAATTAGCATACACCTGTGTGTGTACACACACACACACACAAACACACAGGTGTATGCTAATTTCTGAAATCTCATAGTATAGGTTTTCACTTTTTGAAAATTACTTTTAAATTCTTTTTTATTTTCATAGGTTTTTGGGGAACAGGTGGTGTTTGGTTTCATGAATAAGTTATTTAGTCTTTAGTGGTGATTACTGAGATTTTGGTGCACTCATAACTCAAGCGGTATACACTTTACCCAATGTGCAGTCTTATATGCCTCACCCTGCGCCCACCCATTCCCCTGACTTCCAAAAGTCTTAGGCCTTCGCATCATTTATATACATATATATGATGAGATACATAATTGTGAGATATATGTATCTTATAATTTTTTTATCCACTAATTGATTGATGGGCATTTGGGAGCTGGGTCCATATTTTTGCAATTGTAAATTGTGCTGCTACAAACATGTATGCAAGTATCTTTTTTGCATAATGAATCCTTTTCCTCTAGGTAGACAACCAGTAGTGGGATTGCTGGATCAACTGGTCGTTCTACTTTCAGTTCTTTAAGGAATCTCCACACTGTTTTCCACAGTGGTTGTACTAGTTTACATTCCCACCAGCAGTGTAAAAGTATTCCCTTTTCATTACAGCCCCACCAACATCTATTAGCTTCTGATTTTTGGATTATGGCCATGCTTGCGGGATTAAGGTGGTATCACATTGGGCTTTTCATTTGCATTTCACTGATCATTATCGATGTTGAACATTTTTTCATGTTTGTTGACCATTTGTATATCTTCTTTTGACAACGGTCTTTTCATATCCTTAGCACACTTTTTTTTGATGGGATTGTTTTCTTTTTGCTTATTTGTTTGAGTTCCTTGTAGATTCTGGATATTAGTCATTTGTTGGATGTATAAATGGTGAATATTTTGCCCACTCTGTGGGTTGTCTGTTTACTCTGCTGATTGTTTCTTTTGCTGTGCAGAAGATTTTTAGTTTAATCAAATCCCATCTATTTCTCTTTGTTTTTGCTGCATTAGCTTTTGGGTACTTGATCATAAAGCCTTTGCCTAAGCCAATGTCTAGAAGGGTTTTTCCAAAGTTATCTTCTAGAATTTTTATGGTTTCAGGCCTTAAATTTAAGTCCTTGATCCATCTTGTATTGATTTTTGTATAAGATTGATTGATGAGGATCTAATTTCATTCTCTACATGTGGCTTGCCAATTATCCCAGCACTATTTGTTAGTGTGTCCCTTCCCCACTTTATGTTTTTGTTTCCTTTGCTGAAGGTAAGTAGGTTGTAAGTATTTGGCTTTATTTCTGGGTTCTTTATTCTGTCCAGTTGGTCTATGTGCCTATTTTTATACCAGTACCATGCTGTTTTGGAGACTATGGCCTTATAGTATAGTTTGATGTCAGGTTATAGTATAGTTTGATGTCTGGATTTTTTTCCCCCTTAGTCTTGCTTTTGCTATGTGGGCTCTTTTTTGGTTCCATAGGAATTTTAGATTTTTTTTTCTAGTTCTGTGAAGAATGCTGGTGCTATTTTGATAAGAATTGTATTGAATTTATAGATTGCTTTTGGCAGTATGGTCATTTTCACAATAACAATGCCACCAATCCATGAGGATGGGATGTGTTTCCATTTGTGATGTCTATGAATTCTTTCTGCAGTGTTTTACAGTTTTCCTTGTAGAAGTCTTTCACCTCCTTAGGTAGGTACATTCCTAAGTATTTTATTTTTTGGCAGCTATTGTAAAAGAGTTTGAGTTCTTTATTTGATTCTCAGCTTGGTTGCTTTTGGTGCATAGCAAAGCTACTGATTAGTGTCCATTAATTTTGTATTCTGACACTTTGCTGAATTCATTTATCAGTTCTAGAAGCTTTTTTGGAGGAATCTTTATGGTTTTCTAGGTATATAATCATATCATCTGCAAACAGTGACAGTTTGACTTCCTTTTTACTGATCTGGATGCCCTTTATTTCTTTCTGTTGTCTGACTGCTCTGGCTAGGAATTCCAGTACTTTGCTGAATAGAAGTGGTCAAAGTGGACATCCTTGTCTTATTTCAGTTCTTAGGGGGAATGCTTTCAACTTTTCCATGTTCAGTATTATGATGACTGTGGGTTTCTCATAGATGGTTTTATTAGATTAAAGTATGTCTCTTCTATGCTGATTTGGCTGAGGGTGTTAATTATAAAGGGATTCCGATTTTGTTAAATGCTTTTTCTGTGTCTATTGAGATAATCATGTGATTTTTATTTTCAATTCTGTTTATGTGCTGCATCAAATTTATTGACTTGTATATTTTAAACCATCCATTCTGCATCCCTGGTATAAAACTCATTGGATCATGGCGGATTATCTTTTTAATATGCTATTGGATTTGGTTAGCTATTATTTTGTTGAGGATTTTTGCATCTATGTTCATCAGGGATGTTGATGTATACTTTCTTTTTTTTTTTTGTCACATCCTTTCCTGGTTTTGTATTAGGGTGATACTGGCTTCATAGGATGATTTAGGGAGGATTCTCTCTTTATCTTGTGAAATAGTGTCAATAGGATTGGTACCCATTTTTCTTTGAATGTCTGAAAGAATTCAGCTGTGAATCTGGCTGGTCCTTTTTTGTGGGGTGGCAATTTTTAAATTGCCGTTTCACCCTCACTGCTTGTTATTGGTCTGTTCAGAGTTTCTATTTCTTCCTGGTTTAATCTAGGAGTGTTGTATATTTCCAGGATTTTATCCATCTCTTCCAGTTTTTCTAGTTTATGCATGTAAAGGTGTTCATAGTAGCCTTGTAGGATCTTTTGTATTTCTGTGGTATTGATTGCAGTATCTCGCATTTCGTTTCTAATTGAGCTTATTTGGATCTTCTCTCTTCTTTTCTTGGTTAATCTCACTAATGGTCTATCAATTTTATTTATCTTTAAAGAACTAGCTTTTTTGTTTCATTTATCTTTTGTATTTTGTTTGTTTGTTTGTTTCAATTTCTTCTAGTCCTTCTCTGATCTTTGTTATTTCTCTTCTTCTGCTGGGTTTGGGTTTGGTTTGTTCTTTTTTATCCAGTTCCTTGAGATGTGACCTTAGATTGTCTATTTGTGCTCTTTCAGACTTTTCAATGTAGCCATTTAAGGATATGAACTTTCCTGTTAGCACTGCCTTTACTGTATCCCAGAGGCTTTGATTGGTTATGTCTCTATTATCATTCACTTCAAAGAATTTTTAAATTTCCACCTTGATTTCATTGTTTACCCAATGATCATTCAGGAGCAGGTTACTTAATTTCCATGGGTTTTCTGGGTTCCTTTTGGAGTTGATTTCCAATTTTATTCCATTGTGTTCTTAGAGAGTACTTGATATAATTTCAATTTTCTTAAATTTATTGAGATGTGTTTTGTGCCCTTTTATGTTCTTCTTTGGAGAATGTTCCAGGTACTAATGAATAAAATGGAGTTATTGCATAGAATGTTCTGTAAGTATCTGTTAAGTCCATTTGTTCTAGAGTATAGTTTAAATCCATTGTTTCTTTGTTGACTTTATCTTGATGACCTAATGCTGTCAGTGGAGTACTGAATTCCCCCACTATTATTGTGTTGCTGTCTCTTATTTCCTAGGTCTAGTAATAATTGTTTTATGAATTTAGGAGCTCCAGTGTTGGGCGCATAAATATTTAGGACAGTCATATTTTCCTGTTGGACAATTCCTTTTATCATTATGTAATATATTTTATATATAATATTAATATTTAATATTTGTCTTTTTAATTGCTGTTGCATTAAAGTTTGTTTTGTCTGATATAAAAATACCTGGTCTGGCTCACTTTTGGTGTCCATTTGCATGGAATAGCTTTTCCCACCCCCCTTACCTTAAGTTTATGTGAGTCCTTATGTGTTAAATGAGTCTCTGTCAGTTGTTGAATTATTATCCATTCTGCCATATGTATATTTTAAAGTGGAGCATTTAGGCCATTTATATTTAACATTATTATTGAAATGGTTTCTATACACTCTTGATACAAGAGTAAAGGTAACGGCACATGTGCTGCTCTGGAAGGTATCTTATAAATTACAAGTGAAATAATTTTGCTGAATTTGGATAGGCAAAATAATGGTTCATATTTGTATTTGTGGAGATTTTTACACAATAAGACATAGCAGTTGAATCCTAAAGACAATTTTTTTCTGATAACTCCAAAATATGCATAGAATTGTGTGTGTGTGTGTGTGTGTGTGTGTGTGTCAAAGAGTAAGATCTGAACATTCTTTTATGATGCTATGTACTCTTGTGCATAAGTGAAACTCAACTTAGGACTCTGAAAATCTGTCGAGTTCATCCTTTGAGTAATAAATCTCAGTTGTTTCCATTGAAATTTGCAACTGTATCTCTAATCTGTGATGTAGAATGCCATTTTGGTAAGAAATATGTAATAATCCTATTCTCACTTTACGGTAAGTTTCAAATTGCTCTCTAATGACTTTTAAAAGCACTTCTCTTACCTGGTTATAATTTACCACTCAGTGAAGACAGTGAGTGTCAGGTGACTGACTTGAGGAAGAAGAAAGCCATATCACTCTTGAATCTGTCCTACTCACCAAATTAATGAGCTGTACTACCACCTGCCGCGGGGAAGAGTGTGTGATCAGCTCTCCTATTCCTGATGATGCTGTCATGGTGATGAATGGCTGAGAGATAGATTTTGGGGAAAGAAATCTAGTTTAGTCATAAAAGAAGAGCACAGCCTGTTTTAATAAGAAAAAAATTAGTATTAACACCCTTAACCATTTTGACCAACTGTAATTCTTAAAAGTATTAACAGGAAAATCTTAACAAGTTAACTCTTTCTACATGTTTTTTCGTCCTTGCTAATGACTGATTCTGAGAGACAGCCAGGTTTCAAGCTGCCAGTCAAATATAGAATCTATATAAACAAAGAAGGTAGTTACTAAGCACAGTCATCCTGTAGACTCTCCTGTGAGCTCTCAGCAGAAAAGTATTAACATAATATTATTGGGACTCAAGATTTTACTAAAGTTATATTAGGAACCAAAATTTGGTTACAGAAATGAGAAAACATTTATTTTCTTCATGTGGAATCCTTAATGCTTAATAGTCACGTTAATGTGAACATAATATTTTTAATATTTACATTTTTTTGCCAATTACAAAGTACAAACTTTAGGAATTATTTTTATTGAAATGGATGTAAGCACTCCATAGACAAAGATCTATAAAGATGTTTTCTTTTCTAAGCATTTCATTTCCTGAGGAGAACACCAAGAAATCAATCAGAATTAATATGAACATAAGTTTTGTAAATATACATTGGTTTAAGAGCACATTTTGCAATACTAGGTTCAAATTTCAACTTGTTAACAATGGTAAATTCTGCTTATTCCAATTACCTTGTAGGTACACACACACACACACACACTCTCTCTTTCTCTTCCTCATCTTTCTTTTCCTTCTCTCCTCCCTCCTGCTTTTGTCATTTTCCTGATAACTCAAGAATTCAAAGTTCAGTTAGAGAATAATGGAGAAAAATAGGAGCAGATGTTTTAAACAGTATAAGGCTTTTTTTCCAGTATTTTTCTTTAAGTCCAAATCTGTCTCATTGAAAAAAATCACAATGAATTTTGTAATGGTACAAAACTTCCAGCTAGAAATTTTGACATATTTGAGGGCCTGAATTTTTTCAGTGCCCCCTTGGCAAGTGTTCACAGTGGCATTGTATTTCTGGCTATTAGGTTAAGTATAAGATAATAGTTTCTAAAACTACTTTAAAATTTCTTATATTAAAATTTTATCAATTTACTCAGGTATTTGTGGTCTCCCTGTTCAAAATACAAGAAGTATTATTCAGTTTTTAAAAAAGAAAAAACGAATAGAACTTTCCCATGACTTTATTATCCTGTGGGATAGATTGTTTCAGAAGTTAAATTCTCCTTCCTTGTTTCCCAATACATCCAGGGGGATCTCTCTTAAAGGTGAGGTGACTAATCTTTTACCCTTGAAGGAAAATGATCATGTTAGTGAATGCTGACTCTGCCGTTCAGTTTCTTAGCCACAAATGTCATTTTGCTACTGTGTCTGAAGCTATTGCTCTGACAGCTTCAAACTGTCTAGTACAGTGCATAGGAAGTTTTCTTGAATTATTGATAAATCTGCATAATTTGGAGAAGTAGAAAATGGCAACTCAGGAGAATTAATAGTTGTTCTAATTCTTTATTCAGGGATATGGCATTTTTACATGTGTTGCAGAGAAGGAAGATCTCATAACTAAATAGCTAATTTTGTAAAAGAATATTTATATAGGGAGATATAAAGGACATTTGGAAGGGAAATCTTATTCATCAGTGTATGCCCTGGATACTCTGTACTTTATAGTGAATATTCAACAAATGTTTATTGACCCCTATAAAGTACATTTGTTGAAGAATCTCTCTCTCTCTCTCTCTCTATATATATATATATACACACACACACACACACACACACACACACACACACATATATATATATATATATACATACATACATATATATATTTGGGCACTACATAACTTCCCAAAATTCAGAATCACACTGAACACATCCATCTCATTTCTGGTTTGAAGCTGGTTTCCTCATGATACTTGCTTTCAATCTCAGCAGTTCCCTAAAATTCAGTTTCATGATATGATGTCAACAAAAAGAATGTAGCTTGATCTAATGTTAAAACTGTAAACTACCTCAAGGTAGTAGTTCATAAGATGTCTGAAACAATTATTACAATAATTCCTTCAAATATTTAAAATATTATAAAATATTCCTACGTGAGGCCCTTTTGGCAATCTCATTCACAGTTTGAGCAAATAATGTGTTAACGGTGAGACTACTGAAGTGTTAGTCTGTTTCCACATTGCTATAAAGATACTACCTGAGACTGTGGTATAAAGGAAAGAGGTTTAATTGACTCATAGTTCCACATGGATGGGGAGGCCTCAGGAAACTTTCAGTCATGGTGGAAGGTGAAGAGGCAGCAAGGGCCTTCTTCACATGGTGGCAGGAGAGAGAAGTGTAAAAATGCAGTGAAAACTGCCATTCATAAAACCAGTAGACCTCCTGAGAACTCCCTCACTATCATGAGAATAGCATGGGGAAACGACTCCCATGATCGAGTCACCTCCCACGGGGACCCTCCCTCCACATGTGACAATTAAAACTCTAGATGATATTTGAGTGGGGACACAGAGCCAAACCATATCATGAAGGCACTAATAATTTTCTTAAGAATAACAGATATGTTAAGTTATATTTTAGAATAACATCTATCACTCATTCACTTTCTGATATGTTTTTTGGAGTTGGAGGAAAAGCGATGGCTGTAACAACTGGGATATGGGAATTGAACATAACCAAAGCTTATCTAATCTGTGCCCCAGATAGTCTGAAAATGACTATCACTCATATGTTTGGCAATTATGACTTAAGGCACTATTTCTGTCACAGGAAAATTTATGTATGTGTGCATTTCAGTATCCGGATATACTATTACTCTCTTCCCTTATGTCACAAAGGTGGGCATCATCCCCAGAAGGGGAAATAAATTGGTCAAGACAGTGGGTTTGAACTTTTCTGTATATTATAACCACCTGGGAACTCATTAAAAATGTAGATTTCTGGAATCCTAGGACCAATCTCTGAAATTGTACAGTCTTGGGATTTGGCAATGATAGTTTTAAAAAGTTCTTCCAATGATCTGATACAGACCATCTTTTGAGAACACGGATACAGGGGACTACTTGTTTGTACAGTGAAAGAAGTAACAATATAAAGTCTCAATCTTTTATATATGTCTTATCAATGTGCTGTTTGGCATGTGTGTATGCATACAGAAGGTTCACATGCATTCTTCTAATACCTAAAGATGATGTTATTAATCCAATACCAGTTGCACAAGCACTTAGCATGACAGAGGTAGAACTGATGGTGATTCAAAATCGTATTATTGAACGTTCTTTATATATTTTATTTTTTATATCCCCAGAGGACTTAACTTTATGCCCCTTAGCCCTTTATATCACCTGGAGTAGTTCATACGAAGTGTTAGCCATAAGTAAAAACTCAATAAATATTAATTAGTAATGGTTCTTAACCTAGGTGGAACATTAAGATCACCTGGAAAACACTGAAAAGATATTAATGTCAAGGACACTCCCCAAACCAATAGAATAAGAATATCTGCAGATTGGGGTCTGTTATAGCTAGGTCTAAGAATCATAGAGCAATATCCTTTCTCTAGATCTTAGTGTTACCCATTGCATACATTTTAAATCTCTATGACTGGGCTTATGAGTGTATGTGCACAGGGGCTTACATGTTTTTTTCCCCCCAAAATACACAATGACAGACACATAAAACAGTATTTTTTTCTTTTTCTTGGATGCTTGAGGCAAGCTTTCTCCAATTTAGCCACATCTCTGTCATTTAAATTAAAAATTTTGGTCCAGAAACCATGACTTAGTTAACAGTAAGTATCTCAAAAGATCTTTCCTGAAATACATACATTGCTTAAAATGAAATATTCACCTTTGAATTTAGAATTTAAGAAATTATAATTCATTGTTTTAATAACTGATATAATGATTGAATGGGATGAGTTTACTGATGAAAATATGATGACCTGAGGAATAAAAATAAATATTAAATTAAAAACACAATGAAATATCACTAGCAAAAATCCTGGGGGTGCCATTCATTAAGCTAGCTTGAATTACAATTGTTTGTTACTCCCATCAGTTCTGGGCACATCCACCAGAGTGGCCAAAAATAAAGACTGAAAATGTCAAATGTTAGTTCGAATGTGGAGCAACAGTGCTGGTGAGAGACACAAAAGTGTACATATTGTAAAATCCAAAATACATAACATTAATTTATGGTGACAGAAACCACCTGGGGTAAGAGAATTGGCTGGGAAGAAACTTTCCAGGCTGATGAAATCTATATTTTGGTTAAACTGGTATACACATTTGTCAAAAATAATCACTTATAATCTGTACAGTAATTGTCTGTATAATTAATATTAGTATAGTAAATAATCATATTTCAATATAGTACTCTTAGACAGATTACATGAGCCAAGTTCTAACTATTTCATAAAGTAAAAAAGTAATAATTTCTAAGATTTAAAATTGGGGAAACCCAATATGTCTATTTTCTTTTATAATCATAATATTGATTGGGCACTTTACATGTTATTCAGTACTCATAGAAACAATTCGTGTTAAGTATCATTAAGCATATTTTAGAGATGAGAAAACTAAGACTTGATGAATGTTCCAGAAGGCCATGAATTGTCTAGAAGGAGAAGAAATGGAGTCCCTGATTTAATGGTTATGATATTTAACAGCAGAGGAAGGCAGTACATGTGATCCCTGAAGAACTCTTGGGCAGGCTGAAACTTCAGGATATTTCTCTGCTCCGGTCTGCTGCCTAGGCCAGGTATAAGCTGCTGTAGGGCTGTAGGTTCCTCTGGAGTTTTAGATTTTAGGAGGGCTCAAGAAACTTTCATCTTGTTCTCACTAGGTCACATTACCAAAGGCTTAAGTCTTAGAACTGATTTTAAGTGTATGAAATTGTCTAAGTACTCCTGCAGAAGAAGCTTTTACATTTCTTCTGAATCTATCTGTTTCAATAGCACACAACATTCACTCTGAAAGCAGAGACTTGCAAGAGGAGCTAAGCACACAGAAGGATCAAGTGGGACAGTCTACCATCCTATTTAAAATGACAAATTAAAATGGTAAACCAGTGTACTGACTTGTGTAACTGGGAAGTCCACTGGAGTCTGACTTCAGGCATGGCAGAATCGAGGGTCAGGAATCCATTTTCCTCCAACTTTCAGGTCTTTTCCTGTGCATCATGTTGTTTTCAGGAAGGCTTCTCCGGTTCTATGGCTGAGAAGGCACTGAGGAATTCTAGGATTACAATATATTCTTTCTGGATGGTTCCAGCAAAAGTCCTGGGACCCACATTCATTGAGCTAGCTCAAATGACAATTATTTGATATTCCTATCTATTTGGGGAATATTTTTTCTATTTCATTTACTATTTTTCTCACTTCACCTATTGGAAATGTGGAGGTATACTGTGTCTCATTCCTCCCTATTTGCTATCACCTGGAAGAGAGTCTGTTTGGCAATTATTACCATTTTGTTGTTTTCCTATGTATGCATCTTCATAATTAAGCTACACAGCCATTTGGTAGTGAAAGGTGCTTTATTCATAATGACCAGATTATAAGGTGTGCTTTATGAAGTGTTATTTTTTTGATTAATGACTTTCCATTATTTCAGATTTTTAAAATTATAACAATGAATACAGCAAATATTGAGTTGTAAAGCATATAAGTCTAAATAGAACAGCTTGTACAAAAATAGGTAGATTGAATTTAGTGCCTTTTTCACTAATCCTTATAGAAAATTTACTTAAAATTTGTAATTGATGCCTAGATTTTGATTAAAATGTTTGTTTCTCTTAAAGTAGATTTATTGTTATGTACCATTGTATCATAGTTCATTGATTCTAAGATACCATTGAACATAAAGTGCATTCTAACCGCACAGATGTTAAAAGTTAAAAAAATATTGACTTAGAAACAATGAAATGTTGTATTTGCAGATTCCAGTGGATTCTCAATGCATGGGAATAACACAATAATTATGTCTGGGGAAAGAAAGAAGGAAAGAAGGACAGAAGAAGAAAGGGAAGGAGATTGTGGAGAGGGAGGAGTAGGAAGGAAGGAAAGTTAAAAAGGCAGAAAAGAATAAAGCATAGGCATAATTCTGAGGCTTTCTTGGTGGAAAATTTTTCCAACTTTTCTTTTTACAGATGGAAACTTTATTAGGTCAACAGTAATTTGGATGCTTCCAAGTTAATAAAAATGAAGCCACTGAGTAGACATCTTTGTATGCCCAGGCCTATGAGCTCCTGCATGCTTTTCTTCTATGTGGAAGGAAGGAAAACCAGATGTAGCTGCCTCTGGAATTCAGTGTAGGTGCTGTACCATGCCGATTTCTTTATACCCTTCAGATATTACTTTAAATGTCACTTCCTAAGAGAAGCATTCCTGGACTACCCTATTTAAAGTATGTCCCTTCTTGTTATTTCCTCTTAGACAAGCTTATCCTTTGTTCTCTTCAGACTGTCTACTTATCCCCATAGGGGGCTCATTAAGTAGGCTTAGAGTATAACTCATTTCCAAAAGCAGATATAATTTGACAGAGATATAAAAGATCAAAAAACATTTAAGAACCAAAGGAATGAAAACCTACATGCAAATTTCAGATTGAAAAACAAAAACATGTACTAACAGTTATTAACCTTAAAAACAGAAAACTATAATTTTACCATTACTACATGATAGTAAATGAGAATAAAACTCTGTACCTAGCACGATGAGAGTGAAGGAAACATGGATAAACTTGACTTACCTACATGTTTTCCTGGTGCTGTACTGCTGGTAAGTTGTATGTAAGATTATACGATGCTGGCCCATCTTCCTACTTCTGGACAGGTTACTTTTAAACCAGGCCAGAGAGATGAGCTGTATTCCTTTAAATATTTTATTAGATAAGGATATTTGAGAGTCTACCCTGCAAATTTAGGAACTCTTTCTTAGACTAAATTCAAAGCCCTATCTTTTGTAAATTTTTCATGTTTCACTTTAAGACACTTTATCACGCTGTCTTTACTGATGAAGGAAAAAAGTGAATTTATTAGTACATAAATTTGTTCTCCCCTTGCTATCACAGGACATTATATCTGGGAAAACACCCATGTAGTTTGTGATAGTTGGCACCTCTGTTCTTGACTTCAGTCCCTTTCCTTTGCATCAGTTACAATCAGTCATCCTAGGTAAAACCTAGAGGCAAAACACTCCCGAAATTCCACCCCAAAGCTGCACTGCCTCTAGAACTGATTCATGAGGTATTGCCTCATCATAGCGTGAACATCTCTACATAAAGCAACACAATATGTGACACATACTGAGATTATCTCAGTATGTGTCAGGAAACAAATGGGGTTATTGGCATTTATTTTTGTGTAGTTTATGTAAACATAATTTTAAAGAATCATGAAACAAAAAATACATAGACTATCCATAAAAGAAATTAAATATTAGGTTCTGAAAGAAATAGAATTAGGTTCCAGCTCTCAGGATCTCTCTATGTATTTCAAGAAAGCATGATAACCTCACTAATCACGTATTAATAATAAAGGTTTGGTTATGTAGCAACTATAGGCATGTATCTAAAAAAATTTATATAGAAATTAAAATTAACTGACATGACTTAGTTCATTTTCATGTTTTTTCCAGTCATCTCTACATTATCTTTTCAAACATCCTATTGTAAATTAGTAAAACATACCCGAATATAATCTTAGATAGGAGTCATAGGACGTAGACCTGATAAAATATTAATTTCATTTAATTTAGAACATAAAGAAGTAATATTTTTGTTATTTGCCTTCAAAAAAAGTTTTTTTCTTTATCTTTCAATTTGTGCAAGGAGAGGACAAATAAAAACAGAAGTTTAAACAGTTACATATCTTGGTTGCTCAAATGGTACATTATATGAATATATAGAAGGTATTTTAGAAACATATATAAACATTGTTAAAATAATTTAAACGTTCTACAGATTAAACATTATATGTAATAGGTAATATTATATAGTAAAAAACAGTACTGATTGGCAAACGTAACAGTATTGTCCAATCGGGATTGTTTGCAGTTTCCATGGAGTGGCATTCTGTTTGTCTTCTACCCCTTGAAAGAACAGATTATCCCATAAGCCTATAGATAAATATTGCCTGGCCTCTCCAGTGCTTGAAGGCCTTATGAATTTAAAGGTTCTTGCCCTTACTTTTAAGGAAGAGGTAGAACGTCATGAAGTTTGTAATCATACCTCTCACTTCCCCGCACAGATTCTCAAGCTTTGGAAATGACACTGTGTTAATTCTGGAAAATGTTGTTCCTGGTGCTTCCTCTACACAATGCCAACATTTGCATGGAAAAGCCGACTGAGTGATGTAATAACTAAAATATCTCCATAATGTGAACCTTATTAGTAATGGTGAATTCCATGGCAGAATTATGAGGGGTGCCAAGGCTGTTTATGATTAACTAGGCTTGTTGCTATCGTGTAGAGCCTGCTTTCAGTATGTCTTTGGATTTGATGTGGCATGATTCCAAATCTGGTTTTACTCACATCCTTCTTGCATTTTCAAATAGACTGAACATTAAAACTGCAATTGAATGGCTGAAGAAATATTTACTAAGGTGTTTTAAAGAGCACTTCTGCCATTTAGTGGAACAACTGAAAAAAAAGATGGAAGAGATGTGTGTTTTAAGCAATAAAGGCTTAAGTATGAACAAAGAAGGTTCAAAAGATGAAAGCAATACCACTGCAACTTTTCACTTCTGGTATTTTTTGGGGTATACTTTTGACTCTGTAGTTGAAGGATAGCCTCTAGATTTAACTATGAGGGAATACTAAAAGTAAACAGAACCTTATTATCTTCTATTTTCTTTCCTATTAAGAAATAGGCAATTGCCTCTAATGCACAGACCTGAGTGGATCTGGTGCAACCCAAGACTGAACTGAAGAGCACAGAAAAGGATATGTCAGGAGGGGGAAAGAGAGAGAGAGAGAGAGAGAGAGAGAGAGAGAGAGAGAGAGAGAGAGAGACAGAATAGAGAGATGATACAGGATTCTGAAATCTTTACGTTTAGCTTTGTGAAATCACAAGATTTTTGTAACATCTCTTCTAGGTAGCCACATGCACATGTACCAAATATTCCAAAGAAACCTATAATTTAAAATGTTATCTTTGGGATTTGATTACTGCATCATCACAGCTGTTAGCATAGATAATTGAGAGGTACTTGTGAATACCTGTGACTGAAAATGCCACCATTGTTGAGGAAATGAGGTCCTGAGAAATGGCTTCACAGTTTGGCTCCACATCAAGGATGGGGTGTACAAGAATAAAAAGGAAAATAATTTCTGAATATATTTCCTTCACTGCTGTGACTTCTTGCTTACTGCATATTGGCTCTTTGGCTTTTCTACTATAAAGAAACATAAATCCAGTTGTATTCTGTTGACCAAAGGAAATCATGACATAAACTGCCAGTTGTACTGTCTCTTTCCTGTTTTGCAACCGATATAAAACATTACATTTCCCTACATTAAACATATGCATAGTATATTGAAATGTTTCCTCAGTTTTATAACTACTATAAAAATAGTCGGGAAAAGCCACTGGTGGTAATGCCACTATTTTTAACCACAAACTATTCTCAAAATACCATAACTAGATAATTGGGACACAGGAGAGTTGTCTTTCTGTGATTTTGAATTCTAGGGATTTTATGTGAGAATAAAATTTAGGCCAATTTTATCATTTTCATGGGAAGTTCATCTGCATGATCCATTAACAATGAAATGTAAAAACGCAGAGGTAAAAATGTAACTTTCTTACTCTTTTTCATGGGTGTTTTCAAAGTAAGATCAAGATTTATTTTCTGACACTGTATTGTGACCACAGCCAGGGCCAGAGAAAAGTGATCTTCCTTTAGTTGTCTGTAGTCTGCACTTTGACTTCCTCCTCTTGGCCCAGTTTAGTCCAGACATTTCAACAGCTTGACTAAGCCTCATCACCATTTAGCTGCCAAAATCAGTGGCTGCCAATACCACTAGTAGCTTTTTAAATACACCTGTTGCCAGCACTATGTTTGAGTCAAGAAGGCTAGACCTTTCTGGTACCCCAGTGGCTAAGATCTCTTTCAAAGGAGAATTATTTTTAGTATTACATCATCATTTTTCCTTAAGAAAATGTTTTTCTAGCAAGATTCTCTCCTTACAGAGAAATTGCATTTACACTGATCCCGGCAAATAACATCTCATCTGGATTAGCCTAAGGAGAAACATTAGTTTCAATAATTGATATTACCTCTAATTTTATTTTTAATTGTATGGGGCCAGTAAGGTGTATGAAGAACAAAACATAAAAACTTATGTACACTGAGAGATTTCAATTTTAATAATCAAATATCACTTACAGCAAAGTTAATCTGATAATGGTATGTATTGCATGGTAATTAGGGATAAACACATTAATTGTGCTTCATGAAGTCAAACAAGCATTTTTGGAGCAAGCTTGATGGGGAAATGAATAGAAAAGCCGTTAAAGCTAGATTCTGCTCTAAGGATCCCTGGACCAGAGATCCTCTTTGGCCAGGTATCTCTGTGTTTCAGTTAGCATTTGCTCCCAGCCAGGAGGCCAGTGGCTACGAACAAGTTCCCTATCCACCACAAAGGTGAGAAAAAGCTAAAGAGAATAAGTGTGTTGGATTCAGTTCTGACAACCTTCCCAACCTCTGAAATACTGTATAACTATTTAGCTGCAGCTTAGCAGTACTTTAAGGTGAAGAAAGAGTACATATCAGCCTATTTCAATACTCTGGGCACCATACAGCCATTGATAAGGATTCTTCCTAGACAGTCTTTTCAGCTACTAGGGCTTCATGAGCTCTTTTTGATCCATTTGACTATGAGTCAGTGTTCACAAGGTATATGTGTTTTGCTTTTACCAATGGAATATTTGGTTATAGATAAATCTGTAGTTTATTTAAAAAAAAGAAAAGAAAAACCTGAAGGGTGCTGTGGCTCACGCCTGTAATCCCAGCACTCTGGGGGACTGAGATGGGCAGATCATTTGAGTTCAGGATTTGAGACCAGCCTGGACAACATGGTGAAACCCTGTCTACTAAGAATACAAAAATTACCCAGGCATGGCAGTACACGCCTGTAATCCTAGCTACTCAGGAGGCTGAGGCAGGAAAATCACTTGAACCGGGAGGCAGAGGTTGCAGTGAGCTGAGATCATGCCACTGCACTCCAGCCTGGGTGATTAGAGCAGCAAGATGCCGTATCAAAAAAAAACCCAAACAAACAAAAAAACCTTACATATACGTCTGGTCTGAGGTTGACATGTCTTTACCCTGAAGATATCTGGTGATTTTTTTCCTGCAGTGCTGCAGTGTGTGCCTGTGTATGACACAAGTGACATTGTTTCTATTTGACTAACAGATTTGATTTGCTGTGACCTGATAAAATGATCTGGTTCAAATGCGAGTTTCACTGGCTTTATTGTTGACTCCTTTCTTACCCCGCATTCAGTACATCAGCAAATCCTGTTTTCTCTATCTTAGAAATTTATCTGGACTCTCACTATTTTTACCACCTGCCCTCTGGTCTGTCAGCAGTCTATTTACTTGGATCATTACAACAGGCTTCTAATGTCTAGTTGCCCTTACGCTCAATCTGTTCTCTGCAGTGCAGCTCTCCTCTCCCAACTCAAATCAGATTTGGCCACTCCTCCAATGGCTCTCCTTTTCGTTCAGAATAAATTGAAAGGTTACAAGGTTCTACAACTATACCCTTCTAGTACCCTACTCCCTCTTCTGATTTAGTCAGCTACTCTCCCACCGCTCACTGAATTCCAGCCTACACTGACCTCCTGCCTATTTCTCAAACATGCCAAGCCCACTTCCACTTAGGGTCTTTGCATTTGCTGATGATTCTGTGTAAAATATTTTAACCCTGGGTAGCTAAATGGCTCATTTTCTCACTTTCTTAGTTCTCTGCTCAAATGTCAGAGAGGCATTCCCACACCAACATATTTAAAATAGCATTCTCCCTCCCCATGTCTCCTTACTCTGCTTTAGTTTTCTATGACTCACCATCTGGCATAGTAGATATTTATTTATTTTTTGGCCTTTCCCACTACAATGTGAACTCTATGAGAGCAGGCACTATATTTTGGTGAGCTGCTACAGCCTCATTCCTTAGAACACTGCCTAGCCCAATTATAAATACTTGTTGAGCCACGTTAATCAAGGCCTCATCTTGAGATCTTGAACGTTTTTCTTTTTTTGGGACGGAGATTGGCTGTCTCACCCAGGCTGGAGTGAAGTGGCGCAATCTCTGCTCACTGCAACCTCTGTCCCCTGGGTTCAAGCAATTCTCCTATCTCAGCCTCCCCAGTAGCTGGGATTATACGCTCCTGCCACCCCGCGCGGCTAGTTTTTGTATTTTTAGTAGAGACAGCGTTTTGCCATGTTGGCCAGCTGGTCTCAAACTCCTAACCTCAGGTGATCCACCCCTCCCCCCACTTCGGCCTCCCAAAGTGCTAGGATTACAGCTGTGAGCCACCGCGCCCAGCCGTTTTAATTTCTAAAAATAGACTTTCCGGATCTTAATTTCATGGCTTTAACATTTTAAATGAGCTATAATCTCATTGTTGGCTCGAATCGTTTTGGCAGGAAAGTTAAACTACTGAGAGACCTATGAAAAACAGCAATAATTTAATGAGCACGTCTAATATGCCAAGCTTTGGGCTTAAGCACTTTGTTTTATCTCACTTAATTCCAACTATGGTCCTAGACGTTGGTAGTGTGACTATTCTCCCTTTACAGAGTTACTGAGACTTGGAGAGGTTAAGTAACTTGCAGTCAGGTCACAAAATTAACCACGGAGCTGAGATGAGAATTTAGATATGACCGACTCCCCACTGCCTCCTAGCAGTCTCCTCGAGTAGTTCATGTCCTGTTACCGAAGTAGTGAAGCTGCTGGTGTCAAAACATTCCTTCTGCAGTTTCAGTTTCCTGTACTAGGGTTCTGGGTGATTTTGCACATATTTATTTCAAAGATCCTCGGTACCACACCAGGTAGTTTACCTTTCGGAATGTAAAAGCCACTGTCCTCTATGCTGGGACACTTTCACGCAACGCTGGCTTAGTCAGACTCAGGAAAACGCCTTGTTTCTCATTTCCCTGCACTCCACATTAAACGCAGAGGTAGTTTACACCACCTGGTAAAAGAGGACTGGATGACAAACGCTGTGGTCCAGAAGAAAGGGCACGTCACCAAGTCGGTTCACCGCTTGCTAGCGGGGACGCTTACATATAAACGAAGAGAAAACAAGTTCTTAAAAAGCAGCCGACCCCGGGTTTGGTGGGAAGCTGGCCTGAAGCTGGGAAGAGGGCTCAGAGGACCGGACGCCGTGCCCCGCACCCCGCTAGCCCTGACAGCGGCAAGAGACCGGCCAGGAGGAGTTCTTCCAGAGCGGCCTCGGCTCTAGTAGGCAAGCCGCCGAGGCTCTCCCAACTGCCGGGCTCGCGGGAGGACGCAGACGGGAAGCCTCCGCCGGACAGCCGGCCGGGACCCCGCGGAGCGGGGAGTGGCCGGCGCCCGCCCCGCCCCTCTCCTCGGGGATGCCGGGATGTTTACACTCCAGACAGCCGCGGCCGCAGGAGGAGGAGCAGGAGCCGCGGGAGGATGGGCCGCCACTAGGCTCGCACTCGGGACGCGCCTCGGAGTGCGCAGGGTGGGTGCCCGCGCCTGCAGTGTCCGCGGGGACGGCGCGGCAGGAGGTGGCTGATAGCTTCCGGGCCTCGCAGCCACAGCTCCCGGCCCAGCGCGGTTTCCGACGGCGGCGCCGGGCCGAGCCACCCCGTCTGCCCAAGGTCCCTCGCGAGCGGGAGAACGGAAAACTCCTAACTTCCTGGTGAGTCGCTGCTCAGGGCTCAGGCGCCCGGCCTGGGTAGCTCCTGCCGGGTGGGGCGGCCTGCGGGAGTCGGGCCGGGGGAGTGGGAGGTCGGCACCGCGCGGGGCGGCCTCCGGGATCCCCTTGCTCGGGGTAGGTGGGGCGGGGCGCGCCGCGCTTCAGTCGTCCGGGGTTTTCGGTCCTATTCGTCCGCATTGGTGGGAGGCGGCGGCGGCGGGAAACTTCATACCTGGCACCGACTCTGGCGGGCCGAGGCCGCCAAGGGCGCCGCGGTAACTAAGAAACTCCGCGGCCAGCGCCGCGGCGGCTGCAACAGGTCTTTGGTTTCTGGACCGGAGGAACTTAAGCGAAGTCCCGCCTCCCGGCGGATGCTCATTGGCGACGTCGGTTATTTATCCCTCGCGGATTGGCGAGGTCCGTCTGTCAGGATTCGGTCGCAGCCCGACCTAGGAAAGAAGTGCGCTGGAGAGAGTGGGTGGTGGGAGCCAGCAGACGGGAGATTCCGAAGTGGCCTGAGAAGTACAGGGAGCGTGAGAGGTCTGTTGGAGAATGAACTTGGGAGGGGCTGGAGATGACAAAATGTCGGCCAGAGGGATCGAGAGGCAATAGCGAACATTGCCGGTGATGGTGGCAGTGGAAAAGAAATTGAAAACTGAGGCCACAGTCAGAGAAGGGGAGCCAGATGAAGACGGAGAAAAGTGACATGACCGTATGACCGCAGAACAGTGCAAAGACGCGAACACAACCTAGAGGATGCTACCTTGAGAGCTAAAGAACTTCCTTGCCTCCTTTGCGCTGTAGGCCTTCACTCTTAAAACCGCAGCATCCGCTATTTAGTCTTGCACTTGGAGCGTAGTGGGGTGGTAGAGGTGATGCATCAACCAATGAATCGTGTTCTCGCATAGCTGTAGTCCTCATTGGGGAGAAATACTAAAAATATACTTAGTTTACAGTAAGATACATGCTGCCATCCTTGCGCAATTCTGGTGACTGAACTGAAAATCTGAAATAAAATTATTTTTTCTCCTTTGAGGTTACTGAGCTCAAGGATGCGGTTGAAAACATCAAATTTCCGTTGTTTGTAGGGCCTTATGTACCTATCATAATTGGAACTACTATTTTTAATTCCTCCTCCAAGGAATTACAGTTTCAGGAGTATGCACACTCCCTCCAAGCGACAGCAGTATGTCTGGTCAGGTTGCATTAGAGAATAAAGTACAGAGCATGTGTGTTATAAATATGTTCTGTTAAGGACCTTGAGGTGCTGCTGATGTGGTCGAAGAATGACACAGTACTTGCACTAAAAAACTACAGTATGCTTAGGACAATCGGTCAAACCTTGCAAATGGCGAACAGTTAAACGACACATACAATTAACCCATGCTTTGTGGCAAGTCTTGTTCAATGGCCGCTATTTTTGATTTGTAACACGTGGCGATGGCCAAGTGCTCTTGAAACAGTTAACTTAAAATCTCAGCAGTTATTTCCAGAGAAAGTAAGCCTGTCTCCCTTGGCGAGATCCAGTCCACAGCTCGCTTCCCTCCTAAAACCGCGGCATCCTCTGTTGGGTCTTGCACCGGGAGTTTGCTGGGGTAGGGGGAGAGGTGTTGGAGCTTTGAAAACGCTTTGCCCCTCGGAGGAGTCAAAGGGGCAGAAACTGCATGGGGTGAGAGGAAGGCCTGAGAAATAAAGGCAGAGGAACCCTTTGAGGAGGCTAGTTGCCTTCTCGGGGCCGGTGTGTGTGCGTGTGCCTGGCTAGTGTTAAGGGTGAGGAAGGAGCCCGGGAGCCTGCGGTACCCTCCCGGAGGTGCGGGCCTGAGATTCCGCTGGGTGGCGAGAGTCTCCGCCCTCCGGAGCACTGACGGCCTTCGCAGCCAATGGGCGGCGAGGACATCGCGTTTGAGAGGGCGGGTACTTCCTACTCCGGCCCTGGGCTCGTAGAAGGACGCGCAAGTTGTTTCTCCAGGGATGTCTGCAGGAGGGATGCCAGGCTGAGGTCCGGCGTCGAGAAATAAATAAATAAAAGGTAGCGGGCTTCGGTTTCCCCTGAGCCGTCCTAGGTGTCCTGTTTCGTGATTCAGCTGTACCTCGAACTTAACTACTTCTACTGAAAGTTTATAGTAGATAAGTGAAATTGGTCAGCAAACTGAATGTAGTCCATGTGACTGACGGGGGTTTACTCTGAAATTATAAGAAAATGAAAACCAAGAAATGTCAGAATCTAGATCGTTAGCTGTTTTACAACTTTTGGGGAATCTTTCCATGGTTAAAACTCTTACCAATTTAACAAGACTATTTTCAAGCATACAGGCTCATTTTATAACCTGAACTATTTGGGTTTATTTATTTAGCTAATACATGTAGCACCCAGCATTCCTTTCCCCCTTCCATATTTTCCTGGCTAGACAATTTCAAGAGTTCATTTTCGTCCCAGTAAAACAGCACTTACCCCAAGAATGGGAAAAGCATGTCTGGTATAATAGCAGCGTCCTAGCGGAGGAGGGGAGATTTGATGCCCCCGTAACTAACGTACCTGATTAATAAGCAAAAAACCAGCATTGTATTGTAATGACCAGTGCAGTTACAGTTTGTGTAAATAAGTACTTAAACTCATAACCACCCATCCCCAAATCTTCCTGGAGTTTGCAGTTGATAGTTTTGGGCTCTGACTTATTGTAAACATTCAAGTATTCCTTTTTTTGTTTTCTCTTGATTATTTCACATTTACTGAAATGTAGACTTATTTTTTTTACTTAACTATATGGTCCGAGGTAATCATTAGAGACTTCTACGGTGTTTCCAGAACCAAACACTATTTTATCCTAGGAACTATCTGGTGTTTTAAGAATGTATCTTTGTAGTATTACAAATGTCACCACCTTTAAGGGCACCTGAGAACGAGGTAATAGTGATTATGCAGTTTTGGGAAAAAGAAAGGTAGATAATTACAAAATTTCGTTCAGGTTTTCTTTCTCTTGATTTTTATTGTTTTTTTAGAAAGTCGGCTTTGGTATTTTTAAAATGCATGGTGTAGTGTTTAAAAAATGCACACAACTCTTCGTCCTCATTCCCGGCTTCATCCAAATTAAAGTATTTGCCCTTTCGAATATTTGTTGGAAGACTTCTAGGGTAGGTATTTCAGGGCGTCGTCTATAAAACATGATACCAAACTTAATGTACTACTTAAGGGTGTCTTGGAAATGACATGTATGATTACTGTTTGCTCTGAATTGTTGTGTCAGCACTTTATCAGCATTTATATAAATATATAGCAAGATGTTTTAAGACGCATTTCTTTACCCTTTTGAGAGTTTCAATTTAATTCTCCCCCCCTGCCCATTTTTATAGGGAATATGGATGAATAACATTTGGTGGTATAATTGTAAGCAAATGTATACATTTATAAGATATAATGGCAGTTCAGAATTTTTAAATTGATGCAATTTAATGTCAGAGTTATAAAACTTCTAAACTGCTGATTTCTCCTTTGGTAATTAATAGTTTGATTAGTCCTAGATTTCTCCTTTGGTAATTAATAGTTTGATTATTCCTAGGTATTATATATTTTCACAAAATATTTTTTTATTCTGAAGAAAACACTTAGAGAATGCATTTCATGTTTTCTAGTGGGTAGTGGGAATGAGAAGGACAGACGATCATGAAGCATTCCTTAATTAATACTTTTGAGCAGGATAACTTCTTTTTTAACCTTTGTCAAAATAACCTCCCTGTCATACGATTTATGTAACGCGATTATACAATGAGTGGTTTTGTTGTAATAGCTATCAAAGTGTTAAGAAGAACAGTGTATACATGAACGAAACTGATTATAGTGGTCTGTAAAAATTTACAAATATATATTTTCTGTTACATAACAGAAATAGGCCTTTTTGTAAATCTTGCCACTAGTGTTTTGCCGATAGTAGGTAAGAGCTAGTTTTTCAATCCAGTGTGCTTTTGTGTTGAACAGTGGTTCACAAATTTTTTTCTCTGAAGGGTCAGATAGTAAATATTTCTGGCTTTGTGAGCCATGTAGTTGCATTTGCTGCTGTTGTAGCCAAAGACAGTACCTGACAAAGTGGCCATAGGTGTGTTCAAATAAAACTTTATTTATACAAATAGGTTGGTGGCTTTCCCCTGCTCAGAAGATAATACCAAAGGTCTAAATGGTTCTATGCCATTGATATTTGGGTTGATGTGGAATTCTCCACAACAGAGTTTTATAATTTTTTTGGTCCTTAGACTCTTGTGACAATTTGTTGATCTTCTACACTTCCCTCAGAATAATGCCTAGCTATCCATTCCCAAATTTTGTGTTTCATTTCAGAGTTTGTCAACATATGAACCTCTTTTAGGTTCATTCACCTTTTCAGGTTTCTTCACCATTCTTTGCTTCCGGGGGTTCCTTCTTCTATCCTTTGACATTGAATGAAAGCCTCTCTGTGGCTCCCTGCTTCTTACTAAACTGACATAGAATCTAATGTCAGTCATTTGTCTTTACTAAATGAAAACTACTAGACAAAGAAACATACCAAAACTCACTCATGTTTCTTTGTCTAGTAGTTTTTTATTTTTGTATTTCTGTATTTTTTTGGCTTTTTAATATGAGAATATTCTGTATACTCTAGTTTATATTATTATTATTTTTTTACTTTTTTTAAATCTTTGATTGCATTTTAGGTTTTGGGGTACCTGTGAAGAACATGCAGGATTGTTGCATAGGTATATACATGGCAATGTGGTTTGCTGCCTTCCTCCCCGTCACTATCTGGCGTTTCTCCCCATGTTACTGGTAGGACTGCCTTTGTCTCCTTTAGAGGGAATTTTTGACATGAGCTATAGGGTGGGCACATTGTTGGTCTTTTAGGAAACATTAACTTAGTCTTTCATAAAAAGGCTCCCCCCACAACCCCCCACCCAGTAAAAGAATACTGGAAAGAGCCTGTGCTTCGGCAGAGGGCCTACAGTCAAGGTGTTTTTGGCCTGGGGTAGAGGTACCTCTGACTTTTGCTCTGAGAAGAATTAGCTGTAGGCTTACCTGGGTGTAGCTACTGAGCAGCATAGAGCAGAATGGAAAATACAACGGCTTTGTAGTTACACAGTGACTTTCTCAGCTCTAGCCAGGAGTGGGTTTTGTGTGTGCCAGACTTTTGACCCCTTAGCCTTTGGGGAAACCCAGGTGGGACCTGGGACAATCAGACTTCCTGTCTAGTTGCCACCAGCTACAAGCAGTCTCTTCTCTTTATCTGACTCTGCTGCGCATATATTATCATTATCTGTGTTTACCATGATGTGGAAAAGACTAGGCACCAAGCCCCAGGGTCCTCGCTTCCTGCTTTGTAACCTTGGTTGAGCTGCTTATTTTGTTCAGACTGTAGTTGTCCCAACTCATAAAGTTGCCTTGAGAAGTAAATGAAAACATCTTCATAAATTTATTGTAGCAGGTCCAGTAAGTGTTAGTTTCATTTCACTTTTTTCTCTATTCTTTGGACGTTCAGGGGTGGGAAATACATCTCCTGTTGTCAGTTTCTTCTGATGACAGACCCTGTCACCCACTCTGCCTAGGCCCAGTTTTGTCTTAATGGACTACTTCCCACTTGTGCCATTTCTGCTTCCTCTGCTTGAATGCTCCTTTTCATTTGTCCTGTGATTTTTATATTCAAAATTTAATTTTTCCCACATTTGGGTTAGTTTTTTTGACTTTTTGGAGCATGGGGAGAGTCAGCAATCCTTAGTTTCTCAGGCAGGAAAAGCCACAAGAGGCTTGGGGGGTTATGTTATGGACTACAAATAATGTGAGTTGCAAAAAGATCTTTAAATATTGATTTTAAAAAATGGTGAAATTAAAAATATTCTTCCTAGCATGCTTAAAATTGTTTCTTTTTTTATTGTTGAAATATTTCCCCTATATCCTTATATTTACCTAAATGAATTACTACACATTTATTATGGTATAATCATAATAAAGCTGTATGTCCTTTATTATATTATGGTTGGAAAAATTGAGTAGATGTGTTTATGAAAAATTGTTATACTTTTAAAATGTAAGGAATGCCTAATCTTATACTGCCTTTATATCTAACTTCTGGACCATATAATGAAATAATATGATACGGGCACAGTGGCTCATACTTGTAATCTCAGCACTTTGGAAGGCGAAGGCAGGAAGATTGCTGGAGGCCTGGAGTTCAAGGCTAGCCTGGTCAACATAGTGAAACCCTCGTCTCTACCAAAAAAAAAAAAATTGGGCTTGGTGGCATGCACCTGTAATCCCAGCTAAGGCAGGAGGATTGCTTGATCCTGGAGGATGGCTTGAGCCTACAATTTCAAGGCTGCAGTGAGCTGTGATGATGCCACTGCACTCCAGCCTGGTGACAAGAGTGAGACCCTATCCCCACAAAAAATTTAAAAATAAATAAAGACACCTAGAATAGGCTATTTGTTTTAGGCAAATAGTATATCTTTATTCCAAACAGTTTATTTCTAGGCATGGTTTGTTAGTCAGTAAATCATGTAAATGGAAAGGTCTTATACAAGAAGATTTTGCCAGGGGAGGATTGGTTTATGGAAAGAATTATTTATTTTTCACGGCAACTTACAAATTGACTTCCTTTGTTTTCATCATCGTCTTTGGTGTTAAAATACGTTTAGAATAGTCTGGTGGCAGGTATGGTATTCAGTGAAAACTGCCATTTTTTTCCATTTTCAAATACATTTAAAATAAAGTTTTAATAAGGTATTTACATTTGAGAAATATTTTTTATTGTGAATGACATTATTTTCACCTTCACTTTCTTATTTTATGGCTTTGAGTATTTACAATATCAGCTGTTAGCTGGGCACTGTGGCTCACACCTGTAATCCCAGCGCTTTGGTGGCCGAGGTTGAGTGGATTACTTGAGCCCAAGAGTTTGAGACCAGCCTGGGGAAAACACGATGAAACCCCATCTCTACAAAAAATACAACAACAACAACAACAACAAATCAGCTGTCGATAACGATTGTCTTTACATAGTTCTTCCTTTT